TCCATATTATGGATAGACTCCTATATATTCATGTGTATGCTGTTAGCAGCCCTGAGCCCGCCACGGCGGGGAGGGCAGGGTATAAATTTAATAAAATAAAAAAAGAAGGCGCCAGGTACTCCTCCTTAGAAGTTGAAGAGCCCCCCCCCCATGCTCTGCATTTGAAATGTGGTATCAGAAGAGAGTCCGACGGAGACCGTGGGCCACCCAAAAGACAAATCGGTGGGTTCCTTTCTCCAGCTCTAATAATCAGCCTTTCATTTATTTTTATTCTTATTTTATTATTTTTGTGACATCAAAAGGGACGTAATCACGTGCCCCTCGGTGGGGCCCCCCCCCAAGAACTTTCTGGCTGTGGGCTACTGGAAAAGACAACAAGGCTAGGAAAAGTTGAAGGCAGGAGGAAAAGAGGAGGAGCCAACATGTAACCAGAGCCCTCAGCCTGCAAGATCTGAGCAAGGCCTGTGAGCCATAGAATATTTGGAAGGACCTTAATTCATAGAGTCACCCAGGGCATTTTTTGTGGGAAAAGCCCAGCAGGAACTCATTAGCATAATAGGCCACAACCCCTGACAGCACAGCTCATTAGCATAGTAGGCCACACCCCATGCCTTCCCTTGGCTTGCCTGAACCCTTGATCCTCCAAGGACCCCCCCCCCGCCTGCCTGCCTCGGAGTCACGGGGGGCGGTCGCTCTCCAGGCCTTCCCTCTGTAGTCACGCATACAGAGGGTTTGGCTGTAGTGGGCGTGGCCAACTCTGAAGCCAGCCGGAACTCTGTTCCTTTGAGTTCCTGCCCAAAAATAGCCCTGGAGTCACTACAAGTTAGAAGCAACTTGATGACACTTAACACACACACAACACACAAGCTCTGCATCCCCAAGACAGGCCCACCCTAGCTGGAGAGCCATTCGCAGGAAGTTTTGAAAATTCTTCAAATTCCTTGGCCAGAGGGCTCGGACTCGCATCCTGGATAGGCCAAAACGTCATTCAATTGTCTCCAGAGAGTCAACTCAGCTTTTTCTTTGTACAGAAAATAACAGCAGCACAGCGGATTCCCAAATGCCCCACGGATCTTTTTGCCAACCTCCCGCTTCCTTCCAGAAAGACAGGAGGGGGGGGGGGTTGCTTTGCAGAGAGCTTTTTGTGAGGAGGACAAACAGCCTGGCCCTCTATGGCTCCAGGGCTGCCTCTCCTTAACACGGCTGCTTTCAACGTGATGCATTACCCATGCAATAAATAATGACCTCTCCGTGCATGAACTGCCAGCCTGGAATATGCGGCAATTAATTATTATGAGTGTTAATAATTTATACAGCAGGATCAGTGCACATGGAGCCTTCCAGGGTCAGAGACAAAAAACAAACAGAGACAAAAACAAAGAGCCAGTTTGGTGTAGTGGTTAGGAGCGCGGACTCTGATCTGGGAGAACCGGGTTTGATTCCCCACTCCTCCACATGCAGCTACTGGTGTGACCTTGGGTCAGTCATAAGTTCTCTTAGAGCTGTTCTCTCAAGGGCAGTTCTCAAGAGAGCTCTCTCAGCCCCACCTGCCTCACAGGCAGTGTTCCCTCTAAGCTGAGTTAGTGCACGCTAGCTCACAGTTTTGTAGCCTCCGGCTCACACATTTCAGTCTTAGCCCAGGAAGGACGGCTCTGGAGCAAACTAATTGATGCAGTAGTCAAATCACCTGCTCATAACTTTAATGCCAGTAACTCAGAAAGTAGAATTTTTGCTCACAGGACTCCACAGCTTAGAGGGAGCATTGCTCACAGGGTGTCTGTTGAGGGGAGGGGAAGGGAAAGGGATTTTAAACCGCTTGGAGACTTCTTCAGGTAGTGAAGTGTGGGGTATAAATCCAATCTCTTCTTCCTGCCCCCCAAGAAGCGTGCAGCGTAAAGTACCCATTGAGAAAAGCAGCAGAGAGGCCCAAATTCTCTTCACCTCCCTTTTATCCCGACAGCCACTCTGTGAAGTAAGTTAGGCTGACTGGTTCAAGGTTGCCCAGCAAGCTTCAGTGGCATAGTGGGGATTTGAGTCTGGGTCCCCCTAGTCTGGCAAGTCTAACCACTACACCGCGGTGCCATGCGTGCAGTGCCATGACAGGTTTATCAAATCATGAATGGTGGGGGGAGAGAACTTTTTGTCTCCCTTCCATAACCCTAGAACTCAGGGGTACCTGTTGGGTGTTACAAGTTAGAACACTGTTCAGTATTTACTGGGTTAATGATGTTTGTTAAATCACATGTTTGTTTGTATCCAATAAGTTTAGAGAGCTAGAAAGCCCGGTAACTTCAGATCTAGTTTGTTGTTCTGATTGGAGACTAGAGTGCCACGTATTAGCATTTTATGGGTCTTTGTCCTGAGCAAGAAGAAGTTAGTCTCCATTGCTCTTCTGCCATGTTCTGTCTAGCTGTAAGGATGTAGGAATATAGCTCTTTGTTATTTTCATATCCCGTATACCTTTTCCCCATGCTAGGTTGTAGTAAACCTTTATGTTTCAAACACACCATGGACTCTGACTCTAATACTCTGCTGAATGCTGATTTACTCTGCTGATTCACTTTAAAATCAAAAAGAATAACCCAACAGCACCCAATTAAACTTACAGGCAAAAGATTCAGGACAGACAGACAGAAGCGCATCAGGCAGTGCGTAATTATGGAACTCAGTGCGACAAGATGCAGTGGTAGCCACTGGCGTTAAAAACAGGCTAAATGCATCTGGGTCCATCACAAGGGTAAACCAAACCTCATGTTCAAAAATGACGTTCTGCAGAATAACCGGGGGAGGGGGGATTTTTAAGTGCTTCCCGGAGGCAACTAACTACTAGGGGAAACAGGATCTGGAAAACATGTCTGCAGCTTGCGCCAACTGTGCGTGTGGGCGGTGAGTTGTGTGTCGCCGCAGAAACATGTCTTTCGAAAACTCCGCCCCTCTCCATGCAGACCAGCTGTGGCCCACTTGCGGCCCACCTCAAGGACAGGCAGAAGCCGGCAAGTCACATGTGCAGAGCAGCTGTGCGCCAGATGTGTCTCTCCAGTGGCTGGGACAGGATCACCAGAGAGGCCGGCTCCTTGATGAAATGAGCGCCTTTCAAACTCGCCCCCCCCCCAGCCAAGAGAAGCAGCCAGAGTTCATCTAAGGCCTGTCAGCAGGAGAAATCGCCCCGGCCCGCTTGTCTCCTGGCCGAGAGTCTGGTTCAGTAGGAGCATCTGTCAGGGTTTGGACAGGCATCGATCTCAGGAATTAATTCCAGTGGATTCATTATAAACTTGGGCTTGTGGGAGTATTCCCCAGGCAGGTCTGGGCGGCTTGTTTCAGAGTCCGGGAGCGGAGCTGCTGCTGGCACAAGGCCACTATACAGCGGCTGAGTGGCAGGGGCAGTGGAAGCCACACAAAAAGTAGGGCTGAATGTTTCCCCCCCTTAAAGCCACCGTGGTAGCCCAGTGGCTAAGAGTATGCCCTGTGCTGGGGAGGGTCATGGTTCAATTCTTGCCACCGCTTTACTTGGGGTCCTTTGGGAAAGCGGCTTTCCTTCAGCCTTCCAGCGGCAAATAAATACGGTGCGAACACAAGCCCACCTTGCAGGGCTGTTGTGAGGAGTCATTACTGAGCTTACAGAAGGGGGTTGCAGGCAGTGTTCCCTCTAAGCTGAGTCAGTGTGAGCTAGCTCACAGTTTTTTAGCCTCCAGCTCACACATTTTTGTCTCGGCTCAGGAAGGAGGGCTCCAGAGCAAACTAATTTGTGCAGTAGCCAAATTGCTTGCTCACAACTTTCATGCCAGTAGCTCACAAAGTAGAATTTTTGCTCACAAGACTCCACAGCTTAGAGGGAACATTGGTTGCAGGCACCCACTAGTCTCTTCCCCGGAAGTGGGGGACAACTTTGCCACAAGAACACGAGAAAAGGCGGATCGGCCCAACGGCCCATCCCATCCAGCATCTTGTCCCACACAGCGGCCAACCAGGTCCCTGGGAGGGGCAACAAACAGGGCATAGAGGCCAAAGCCCTCCCTGGTGTTGCTTTCTAGGACTGGTAAGGTTGACTGCCTCTGGACATGGAGGTTCCCTTTAGCCACCATGGCTGTCAGCCCTTAGGAAACGTCTCGTCTTTGGCTTCTCACTGAAGCCCGCCTTACCTGCAGCATCAGCAGCAGCGAGCCCTCGAAGTACCCCCGTCAGCAACGGTGCACGCCGGGACGGGGCGGCCGGTGCAAATCTCTGGCTTCCTCGCGGCCCTTCCGCCAGTCCATTTCTCCGCGAAGCCTGGCCTGCCCCCTTTAGAGGCATCCCTGCCGGCTCCTCGGGGCACAGGCCCCGCAGAAGGGCCGAGGGCCGAGCCCAGCCGCTCCACGCCTCTCTGCCCAAAGCCGCAGCGGCGACAGTGGAAGGGATTCCGGCGCGCCGGGGACGCGGCGCCTTTAAGGCGGCCGCGGCGGCCGGGCCCTCCCCGAGAAGGGGCGGGGCTCGAGCGCTTCCCGCGAAAGTCGGAGCTCTTT